GAGACACACATTTAGCCTCCTCCCAGCTTCATTCATCTGCAGAGCACTGACAGACGGCTTCCACCCAGTGTACTACTACACTGCAAATGGCAAAGAAAATGTCTTTGTCTGTGGAGGTTGTAGGTCAGGTTTTGTATTGGGAAAGCTTTTATGATTAATACAGGTGTTGATTATAATATAGCGGTGATTATAATTCTGATGATTAGATGTTGTATTTGTTTATTTTCTAAATAGATAGCTTTGTATTTAATTGCAGGTGTGTTGTGTATCTAATTATAATCTAATTTGGATGCACTGAACACCAAATCTAATCGTGAGATGTATAAAATGGCATGTTGGAGTGTGTGTATTTCACAACTGCTAATCTTTGCTCTTATATACATTGACAGACAAGCAAGAATGTCTTCTTCCATTCAACTCAACATCATCATGTTTGCTGTTGCGTCTTAATGAACACATCTGTAATGATTCGATCTGTTATCCACGCTTCATTAGTATGTGGACATTTATCATTCATACTGGTTACACTTACATACTGCAGAGACCAGTGGGAACTTTATACTGTGCTGGATATTATACATGTCAGCTGCTTGAATCCCTTTTGTGTAATTAACTGTGGAGCCACAACCAAAATTGCTAAGAGTTCTGGAGGTTCGGCACCACACCCATATCTGCTTTATTAGCTTAAATTTGCAGCTCAGTGCTTGAGGCTGATATTTCTGTATTCCTCTGGCTCAAATGGAAGGCATTTTTGAAAAAGTTGTTTTATCATTTTAATGAACTGTGAAAAGAAAAATAGCCTTCCAGAAAAAGGATACATGGAAACACGGAAAGACATTTAAGTTTTAGCATCGAAGAAGAATTAATAAGCAAGAAACTGAGAAAAAATATTTTCATGTTACAGTAGTAATGTCATTGTTTTGGGTTGAAGACAGCAGTGTCAGAGTTATAACAGAATGTTATGTTTTACCAGTTTACAGAACTTTTACAGTGAACATGCCTGTTACTACAAATATTTCTTTTCATGTCTGCAGTACATTCAAGGCCTGGTTAATGTGCTCTGCATCAGCAGCATCTCTCGTTATGAGCTCCTTGAAAGGATGCATTTATTTATGAGTATAGTGGGTCTCTTTGTTTTCCAATAGGGCAAGAATGGTCATCTTAGTTAATAGGGTAATTTATTAATTTAACCATTTATGTTTGTGCAGGACACTGGAGCATTACTGTACATACCACTTCCTCATCACAAGGCAAGGTTTCATGCACATGGATACATAAAAAACTCCCTCCTCAGATCTAGAATAGCTTCACAGAGCAGCAGAATTTGGAATAGAGCAGGAATAAATTAAAAAATCAGTTGCATTACATTATTTTCAACGTAAAGCACATACAAGAAGTCCACAAAATAGTAGAGTAGTACAGACAGAAATACATCTGATAAAACCCATCTACCCTAGACAACATGGGGATGAACAAATCTCATTTTGTCATAATTGGAATCTGTCATGCCAGATCTTCAGAAATGAAGCAGTGGTCTATATCTATCACAGCGGATCTAGAGATTATGGTTATGTTTGCCTTTTTTGTTGAAGCTACAGAGGCACGCAAGTGTCAGAGAAGTTCACTTTTACACAGGTTATCATGAGGGTAACTTTTTAAAGGCCACATTATCATTCTCATTTTACTTCTTTTAAGGTGGTATTTCTAGTGTAATAGTGGGAAACACTTGTTATCTCATACTTAGAAAGGAGTATTAGGGCCACAGTAAGAAAAACAAAAATTGTATTGATCATTTTGAGAATAAAGCAGAAATTTTGAGATCAAAGTTGCTGTTTCAAGACAAAATGCCACGGCTGCTATAGCCTCTAAAAAATGCTGTGTGTAGACAAATTGATCAGCTGTCATGTGATACAACGTCCATCCTATTTATTGCATGAGGGTGTAAGTGTTGGTATCCTTGCATCTGTCCATTGCCAGCTATTTCATTTTGTACCAAACTGCCAACTCTTCATGTTTGTGTGGTTTCTCCATCTGACCAGATACAGCTTTCTGCACCATATTATCAGTGCCCTTATACTTATCACCACCACTAAAACTGATTCTGAAGTACGATTTCACAAACTCTACACAAGGCATGTAGAGGGTGTAGGAGCCGTGGGACTTTGTCTTGAAACAACAACTGTAATCTCAAAATTTTGACTTTCACAAAATAGGATTTAGACTTTTTTCTCAAAATATATTTTTGACTTTGGACTTTTCTCAAAACTTCTACTTTAATCTCAAAAAGATTAACATTTTTTTCTTAATGTAGCCCCAATATTCTGTTGCACATACCTGTGTTTTATACATTTTTAATTTTTTTTAAATGAAGAAGCAAAGGCACTTTTCCTCTTACACAATATTTTGAAAAGGTAGGAACTAGAGATTAAATGGTTGTATGTATTTTCACCACTCCACAAAGATAGATTGTTTAACAATGACTGGTAACCTTTTTTTTTTTTTTTTTTTTTTTTTTTGCACCATTAGTCACAGTTCATGTTTTCTTAGAAAGATAAATATTTTCCAGTTGTCATCTACTACATCTGCCTTTGAAATAAGAAGGTTCATGTGAGCTGCAAAAAGATTCTGCCCTTCCTTTTTGCCCTAAAGCAAAAACCTTTTTTTCCTCTTTCTGTCCAGTTCTTATATTTCCATGTGAAATTTAACCCCCTGAACAGGCATAAAAGTGAAATGTGGAGGTTGAAGAAGACTGCAAGACCCTGCTGTTGTATTTCTTGGTGACTTGGTGCAACATGCGGTTCCTTTGTTGTTAATCTACCAGTGTTTGTAAGGTTAATTACTGAGGACCTCTAGCTATTTTAGAATGAGTCTTTCCAAACTTTTATCTTTTCCTACATTGTGAGTATATGGAGTATCTCCTGAGATGTTGCATCATTCATAGGACTTTCCCATTTCAGATCTGCTTCAGTATTCTGTCTGAGTTTCCCTTTTTCCATCCAACTGCAATGCAGGGTACCACACCACTACTAAACAAGAACACAACACATAAATCTAATACTCACAGCAGATGTGATTCACATGGGCACTTTGTGTCTAGCATTCCTGCTGAAGTGTTTCCCCCAGAATTAATCGCAAAGGAAATGAGAAGATTGAATAAGAATGCAATATGACAAAAAGATTCATTGCTCAGTGGACACCTCTGCTGATCTCATATTAAGGACATATTTGTGTTAGCATTGCAATTTCAAGATATTAATCTTCTTTCTGATAATATCAAATATATTAAAACTATTTGGGGTCACGTGAAACCTATGCTTTTCCCAGAGTATAGTGTTTAGAAGAAGGCCACTAGACTACAAACAGATAAAGAACAGCATGTTGACTATATAGCATTTTTATTTGAAATCCATGTCTAATCTGCTAGGAATCTCTCAAAGCAATGTTTTAGATTATAAACACTCAATGATTAGCAATTGTGCAAGAAGATGATTACATGTATGTAATAAAATGAAAAATAATGAGTGTTCAAAAGTGTCCAAAATGTTTTTATTTTCTTTTGGCAATAGCAAGAACTGCTGAGTATCTTTTATATGGGGAACAATGGAGTGAATTCTTGGCTGACTTTAGCTGCAGTTTGTACTGTAGCATTCCAGCTGCACTGCAATCTTTACTCAAAAAATGCTACCAGAGCCAGACAGTTTTCTGTCAGAATAGCACTAAAGATGAAATCAATATTTCATTCTGGACATTCTGGACCAGCTCTTGTGTGCTTATAAATTAGTTGTTGTCCTTTTTTTGCAGATAACATATGTAGCTACTGTATATTATAGAACCCCGAAGAACACACCATTCAGAAAGCTCAGTGTTTTTTCAGAGTGGCAAAGTAAACAAGGCTTTAGTTTGACTTGCAAAAATCACAATAGTGCATTTCAATTTGTAAACTCAAATTGAGGCTTAGAATTCACTCTCTGTGTGCTCTGCTGATTTAGTTCAATATCTACTTATGAGACGAGCATATGATTTGTCTTTTGGTCCCCTGACATCCTCGCCTCTGCGAGGGGCAGGGATAACTCAGTAGGTAGAGTGGTGGCCCCATGATCGGAAGGTCGGGGGTTCGACTCCACTGAACCGCTACCCTGAGGTACCCCTGAGCAAGGTACCGTCCCTACACACTGCTCCCCGGGCGCTGCACTGGCGGCTGCCCACTGCTTCACTGGGTGAATGGGTTAAATGCAGAGGAACTATTTCCCTATGGGGACTAACACGCACACTTTACACACTTTACACTTTTACACTGCTTCAGCTTTTGCAGCTAATACAGTGAATATTAATTTCTTTCTGCCTGAGGGTTTTTGCCTCAACATTGCTGGGGAAAATCCCAACTTCCTGCATTTGTGTGACAGGGGGTTTCTCTCGTTTGTTACAGCTACCACAACAGCGCTCCTAATTGTACTGTAATATTGATTTGACACGGTCACAACCCACTGACTCTATATTTTGCAGTGCACAGAGTATAGTCCAAATAAGCTGACCTTCACTGAAACTGTTCTGGCTGCAGTTCAGCTTATAGTTAGCTGTATTACTTGAACCGAGTGACTCTGAGGTAATGCTCAGCAGATCAGAAAATCTCTAGAAAGAAAGTAAAAGCGATCCTGGTGTGGCATGAATCCCCCTGGCGGCAGGTCGAAGTCAATGACAGCCTTCCAATGGTGCATTTTTAGGCTGTACCACATCAGTTCAGTGGGGGGTAGAGCAGGGGTTGCCATGGTGAAGCTGCCTATGGAGTAACATTTGTCTGCTTAATGATGCGAACAAGCATGGGAGATGTTCTTACACAGAGGATGCAGGTCACAGTAGTCCAAATACAAATAATAAAAGGAAGAACATGCATATAGAGATGACTCAACATTAAAAACTAAGCTCAGAACACCGTGTGTCTGGTTTTTATTGTGATCGTCTAAATGTTTTATAACCTTTGCTTCTGCATCATTCACCCACAGACCCCGAGTCCCAGAGGAAGCGGACTGTGCAGAATGTCCTTGACCTACGCCAGAATTTAGAAGATACAATGACAAGTCTGCGGGGCTCCCAGATGAGCCATAGGTAAGTAAAGTATATATATACATGTATTGATAAAATTATGAGATAAATCCATTTATTAAAGTCAGTTTAAAGTGAAAAAAACACACTTAGACCCTGCTGGATTGATACATAACATAATCACGTGTAAGCAGTTGTATTGTGGCTGCTTACAGTGTTGCCACTTGGTAACAAGATAACAGAAAATTGGTTTATTGCACCAAGAAGGTTATCCTTGGTGGCATATATCTGCATGGTGTGCAGTTTTGAGGACAAAAGAAGAAGTGGCAGGCCTAAAAAACTATCTACAGCAGAGAAACAAAAAAAAAAAAAAACCTGAGATAAGACTTAGAGAGATTAGACTGACCTTCAGTTGATCCAGCGAGTGTTTGCTAAAGTGTTACCAAAAATCTTCTCAAGTTATTTTTCAGCAAGGGAAACAATGAGAAAGGGCTGAGGGATAACAAATTACACAAATACTAGACTGAAAATCAGTGGCAACAGGTCACATTGAGTGATGAAAACAAATGGCAATTTGATGACAATCAAATCATTGTCAGTATGTACGGAGGAGGTCAGGGGAGAAATAAAACAGTCAGTGTCTACAGATAACTGTACAGATAATTGCATTTGTGTCATGGTTTAGTGCTGCATTTCACCCAAAGGTGTTGGTCTTATAAAATACCAGATTTTGATCCAATATCATCTGGAAAGCATCTGATTAGAAATTGCTTCATTTTTCAACATGTCAGTGATCCTAAACACACTGCCAAAAAAATAAAAGCATAACTAAACAGAAAGATACAATCATGAACTAGCCTCCCCAGAGTCCAGACCTCAGCATTATTGACCTGTACAATCTGTTTTTGCCTTATGTGCTGCATTTCCATTTATGTTTCCACATGTTTAAAAAAATGCTGCAGCCCTTCCCTATTTTCTTACCTTCCTTCTTCTTACATAATTTTAACACCAAACCCATTGCCTCTATATTTTAAAACTCTCTTGGATAAGTAATGTCTTATGTCTTATCTATAACAAAGATTTAGTTCTAAACACCCACATGTGCATCATGGCACTGATTATAAACTACCTGCAAAATAATTGACGGAGTTAGAGACTAACAGATATGGAAAAGTTTAGCACTAATGCTTTCAGTTCTATCCATCCAGAGTCTATCCCAACTATCACAGGGCGATACTATTCTGTCTTAGATGTTTAAAGAGGCTGTTTGGCTCATAAACTTAATCTTGTTTAGTGATGGCTGTTATTATACCAGAAAGTTGAGAAGTGCTGCTTTAAAGCTTTTTAGTTTTAATGTAATTACTCTGCTCAACCTCTTTGAAACATATTGTTAAACAAAGAGTTGTGATTATAGTAAATAATCATTTGTGCGATTGCACGCTAAATTTTTCTTAGGCAGCTATCAAAAGGGCTTCAGTTAATCAATGACTGACCTGAGACTTAATGGCTGCTTGCAGGACTGTCCTGTAATTTTCATCATCATAGTATTTTAAAGTCACTGACAAATGCAGAAATTCTCAGCCTTCAGGTTGATGAATTATCCACGAAGAATGGATAAAAATACTTGCATGGTCGTGGGCACTGCAATATTTATTTGGGTGACTCGGTTCATCTCGTTATGTAATCGACAGACACAGTAGACACTCCTAGCCATTTGGAGGACGTTTCTAATTCTGACCCACTTACAACAGAGAAAAATTTTATTAAAATTTCCTGTGTGTGGTCCTGAAAAGCAGAGTCCTTGCTATCCTGGAATACTTCCTGGTACACAAAAGCAGTATATTGAAGAAACAGAGAGAAGAGAGAGAAATGCTATATGCAATGCAACACAGAGATAGCAATTTATCCGTCTTTTAGTCTTCTCCTAAGCAGCATCTTTTCTAGTTTTACTCCCTGAACTTGATACAACACAACTGGTGTATCTAGGTCAAGAGCGACTGAATGCCACTGTTGGTTTCTTTGAAGAGAAACTCAGAAGAAAAAAGAGAGAAGTTTTCTGGGTGTGCTGTGCACATCTGGAGTCTTTCTTTTATGTTTCTTTCGGGACAAGACTCTTAACCAATTGCTTTGAACATGTTTGTAAACCACCCTGACCCTCTCCCTGTGTGTCCCTCTAGCTGTCTGGACAGCAGTAATGTGGGCTATGACAGCGATGAAACCAATGCTCGCAGCATATCCAGCCTATCCAACCGCTCATCACCTCTTTCCTGGCGCCACGGCCAGGCCAGCCCTCGTCTTCAAGCTGGCGATGCCCCATCCTCCACAGGTGGCGGATACCAGGGAAGTAAGAGTGGTTCCCAGTACACAGCCCATACAATGCCTGCTCGCTGCTCCAGTCGACTCAACAGCACGTCTCGTATTGAGCTCATAGAAAGCCTTGATGTTGATGATCCCGATCTCAAGTCTGGTTACCTGAGTGACACTGACCTTCTAGGGAAGAGCCTGCCAGATGATGATGATGACAACCTGGCTAACGGGTAAGAGCACTTAAAAAATGAGAACATGAAGCAATAGTTTGCTGCAAATGGTGCATACTGGTTTGTCCTCCATCTTTTGACTTAAGGAAGGTCAATGAGAAGCTCAGCTGCATTTTAATAAGTAGGCACTCTTCTTGAAATGCTGGACATTACCTGATACTATCAGTCCTCATTTGCAAATGTGTGCATATTTTGCTGGTCAAAAAAAAAAAAACCTTCATGAAGGAAACTTTTCACGTCGACATCATGAATTTCTCTTTGTTGCTGGAGCCTGATGTTGCTTGGCAGGCTTATCAGAGAGCTTTCATCAGCAATCTCTATAGACATGTTTGGTATTTCTTGCACTTTAAGGACTTCTCAAACTGCCCGAGACATTGTCTGAGCCTGTTTTTGCTGACCGTGTGGAAAGCTTCTTTTAACTTTATCACTGAGGAGAGAAGTTATCTGGGGCTTTCTCAGTCACACAGTAAACACTCCCTCATTTCTGTGTAAACAGTATAAACAAGTGCACTAAATAGCTCCGATGACATATGTAGAAAGCTGCACCTGTGCAGTTTTTTTGCTCATCTTCTCACTCACTTTCCATCTTCCGTGATTCCCTCATCTTACATTCTTTATCTAATTCCCACTCACAACTTGACAGCTGACAGTGAGCGTGAGAGAGAGGGGAAGAATCCAGGACACTTCTCCAGTGTAGCAGCTTTATCACGGTTGCACATGCAGTGGGACTTAAGCTCTCTGGAGCACTCCAAAGGCCCTGCATGCCAGGTCACGTTCTTACTATGTGCACTAAGGAGACGAGAGGAAGTGAGGCACAGTTTAGATGAGTAGAAATTGGAGCATAGAAGAAGAAAATGCAAACTAGAACAGGGCTAAATGAAATTAACATGGAGAACTGGCTTCACAAGTAAAGATAGATGGTTAATTTGAAGGAGAGAGGTGAAAAATGATCAAACAGCATAAAGCTGATAAGGCCAGGATTAAACGGGGATTATGTCAAATGGGTCCATTCCTCACAGTAACATCCATGCACTAAAAAGTCCATTTAAATCTGCCCTGTATTTCTCCTTGTTTCTCGCTGCAGTAGCTCTGCTGGGGTGTTTCAAATTCATTAGAGAGGTGAGCGGAGAGCGTCACCTCTGCTTTTTGACACCGCAGGCAGCAAAGATGCTAATCATTTTATGTAACACTAGTTTTAGAATGCCTCATCATGCTCTCTGTTTTAGGCCACCAAAGTCAGCAATCCCTAGACATGCTTTCAAGGTGACTGGAAGAACTCTTGATGGGAAAAACGGGTCCCCATAGAGCATTTTTACCATTTATACCCAAAGCATGCTATGGATATGCCTCCTGTTATGCGTAATAACAGGTCACTCAGTCTACAAAACATACCAGGAAACAGAAATATTTTGCGCTGTTTTCTCTCTAACGTGACTAACTTTCGTGCTTATACTGTAGTTGGAAGGTTGAAATCCTTCTGGTTTGTTGGCTTGGACGTGACTGCAGAAATAATAGGGTGCTAGTGCTCTATACCAAGAATGAATTGTGCCACATAAACATACCAACACCCTTTGGTGTAGATAACAAGCTAATCCAGTTTCTGAAGCAGGCGCTGCAGCACATGCTCTAATTTATTTATTTATTAATTTTTTTTACAGTATTCTGTGATGCATTTGCATTTACTCCACATCCCCTGTCACACACTTACAGTTCAGCTCATTGAGAAGCTACCAGCTCTTGAAAATAGATCAGGCTCCTCCCGCGTAACCATGGAAACCCACTGAAAATCGACTGTAAGGAGAGGTGCCATTTCTGCTCCCCTTTCAGTAAGGCCCCAGTTTTACATTTTCATAAAACGTATTGATCTGAAATGAGCACCCATATAATCAGCTAAATATGAATGGCACATTGAGAATGTCAAATCACTAATGCAGTTGTAGTATGTAATACTTAGATCATGTAAAGAAAATCCTGAAGGCTCAAGAGAAATGGGCTAGAAATGGAAAACTGAGTCAACTGTAAAAATTATAAAACAAAAGGCATGTTGTTAAGACTAACTAGTCTAATGGTACTGCAGCACATTGGTCAAGGTGTAATGGATATTGATTAATCGACACCAGGGAGCACTGCTTACATAAGATGTTCACAAAGACCATTATCACTGCTACGGTGTGTCTTCATCATCAATAACCTGATACATAAGTCAGTCTCCTCATCAGCTCCAGCCTTCTTCAGACAGGAGAAGTCTGAGAGAAAGCTGCAACATGTAACCTAATCATAAGCTGGTTTGTCCTAATTTAATTACAAAGAAAGGATACATACCCTCTCTAAAGACAAACAAGACGATCTGGGGATATACAGGTACAGTTCTGCTGCTTCTATTTGTCACCATTCTAATCTTAAGCCATCCAACAGTGCAGTGTTCACCTACAGTTAATGAAATATTAATGACTTAACACTTCATAATCAATGTTTGTACACTGATATTTTACACTCTGTGGAACAAAGACAATCTGGCAGACTTTGCTGTGATCTAATCCATCGTTTTTGTCAAATCACTAATACAAAGGAGATGGAATGGCATTATTGGATTTCTGAGCCCTATAGGAACAATGAAGTCTAGCATCTCTAGCTCAGCAATCCAGTTTACTTCAATTTAATTAATTTAAATAACACCAAATTGCAACAACATTCACCTCAAAGTTCTTTTTACTGTAACTTAAAGACCCTAAACGAATACAGAGGAAAATACAAACAGTCAGATGGCTCCCTAGCAGTTGGTGACAGTGGGAAAGAAAAACTCCCTTTTAACAGGAAGAAACCTCCAGCAAAACCATGCTCAGGGAGGGGCACCCACCTGCCATGAAGACAGGAAAAAAAAGACAGTAGAAGAAGAGAGCAAGAAACTAATAATAACTAATGATTAAATGCAGAATGGTGTATAAACACTTGAAAAAATGTGAGTGAAGAAGAGACACTCAGAGTATCCTGGAAAAGTGAAGCATATCTTCTAATCCTCAGCTTCCTTGCTTTGTCATCTCAGTTAATAGTTTCAGGTGCTGTTTAAAACATGAGGTAATTTTATAAATTGCGGTCAAAAAGAATGATCAAGCAGGCTGAGCTTTAAAGAGGCCCTACCTTGTGATTTTGAAGTTACTACCATATGGACACGCATGCTCTCTGTGTTTCTTAGCCAAATCCACCCTCACTCGACGCATCTGGTTTCAGAACACCAAGATGGCAATCCTGAAAGCACTTAGATCTTGTCTTCACCTCCTCTTCTCCATTAGGTATAGATAAAAGCACTGTATGAATGTGTGTGTGATTGCGCAAATGAGACTTTTGAGTGCTCAAAATTTAGTAGAGGTAAAGAAGTACCAGTCCATTTCCCATTTCTGCAAGTTTTCTTCTTGACTGTTCTCTCCTAAAAGGATGTTTACATTCAGTTACAACTAAAATTGCCATAATTACATACAGTGTAATAACAAAATTGTACATCATTTTCCATTTTGTCCTCAGTAGACTCCATGTCTGCTTAAAATGTTGGCTGGCAGTGAAGCTAACAAGAGTTTTTCTCATTTCACTAGCACTACTCAGGAAGTGAGTTGCTGTGTTTCAGCTTACATTAGTGTGTTGAGCTGGCTTCTTATTTAGGCTTGACCACGTCAGGAATCATAAATGTTTCCTGCGGCTGCCTTCTTCACACCATATTGCCAGTTTTTAACCATCACTTATATGCTATCATCCCGTTAAAAGCCATATTTTGAGAGGCTGGTTTATGAGTGGACCAGTAATCACATTATATTGATGGCGGTTGTTTCCGTATCTGGTATTTACATTATGACTCCTGTTCAGCATTCAGTCTGATTTTTAGTGGTGTTGAGTTAGTTATGGTTGATGTTTTACAGACATTCAGCTGTAGTGTATGTAAGCATTCATGTAAGCAAGCTTTTCATGTCGAATACAGATGCTCATTAAAGAAATTACGTAATGGGATAAATAAAGCCTCATTTTTGTATTTTGTCAGAAGATAAACAGTTTGAAAACCTTAAACTGGAAGAGGAGAAAAGCAAATAGGTTTTAACCTTTCGACTGCTTTCAAATTATTTTTTTTCTTACAGTAGAGCAAAGGGCACTTAAATTCAATAATGAGCTACTGATAACCACAAGAATCTGAGGTCAGTTTTCTTTTTTCTGTCTTTTTTTTTTTTCTTGACAAGGAAAGCTTTTTATGCCTTTCCTCAGTCTCTTAATATAAGAAATAGAAAATGTGAGATACCTCACCTCTAATAAAACATAACCATAACATAACAGGAGACTCATTTTGAACTTTTGAAAAAAAAATATTAAGTGCCAGTTGTTATTTGTTGCTCTTACACATACAGTTTTCTATATTAGCTTTGTTTTTTTTTCAGGAATAGATAAGGAGGCTGTAAACACATTAAAATAAAATCAATACATCAAATGCAATGCGGCAAATACATCATCCAGCAGACACAGCCATCATTTGGAATCATAACTCAGTCAACCAGATTCATTTTGATCTGTCTGCTGCTTGATGCTGGGCATGTACAGTTAGTTTATCAAAGCCTTTTCACTTAAAGCAGTTACTAAACCAAAGCAGTAAGCTCTTGAGTATTCAATGCTTTAAAGCTGTAACAGACTCAGGACACTGTTATTTCTGTGATTAATTTATTTTCCCTGCTTTAAGCCATTGCTGTTAACATTATCATAAGACTTGAATAAATAGTACATAAATGGTTTTATTAGCAAATGGGCAAATCTATCGAATGTTGTAACCTCATAAATAACACAATATCATTAGAGTTGCTTCATATACGGCGTCCTGAAAACAAGAGTAACATAATAGTTTATCTCTTTCCGTTGTCCTGTGATAATGTCTTTCTTTATTACTGCTGGAGCAGAGCAGAGAAAGGGGGCTGGTTCAGCAGCATCACCCTTCTGATCATGCGGCAACATGGCTCTGGATGTGCTGCCAT